TTATTATTGTTGCTGCTTGTATCAAATATTTTTATTTACGCCAAGTGTTTTTGCTTACGTCAAGGGCTTTTACCTTAGTCAAATCGTCAAAATTGCTCTGGCGAGAAACTATCTTTAATCAATAATTTAGTTACGTCAATGACTAAAGTCAAAAGTTTCGTCATACATCATTAGCAGACAATACGTCAATATAATTTTTTTTTATAATATATGCTTGTTAAATCTATTAATTTTGTATATATAAATCAACTCTAAATAAAATAACTTATTTTAGACAATTCATCTGGCATAGATAGTTCAATTTGTGAGAGTATAAAAAAATATTTATCACGAGAGTGGGTATTAATAAATATTGTAAATTTTAAAATGTCAATAATTACCATTATTATTACTAATAATTGTTACTTTATTGGAATTCATAGGTTGGGGAAGGCTTGTAAATTTTAATAATCTGCTAGTATAAGGAGCATTTGGATGAATTGCTGCAGCAATTGTCCATTTTATTAAACTGTTTTCTTTTGAATATCAAGGTCATCTATTATATAATCATTTGATGAATCATTTCAATAGTAAATAATCTTATAAATTACTTCAGTTTATCTGGATCTGCATTCACGCATCTGAATGCTAGTTCAATATAGAAGCTTGAAAATCCAGGTCTTGCACCTTCACATATTTTTATGACACCAGAACTCCGAAACTATATATATTTGATGCAACATATGGTAGTACGCTGGGTGTGATAATCGCGATTTTAAATAATAAATATTTTTTTAGTTATTTTTATTGAATTATCAATTTGCCCATGAAAAAAAAGCCATGGACGACTGATTAGAACCGGTGGTATAAATATAAATATTTTGGACATTCTTACTTTCAGATTCCTATATTGATTTGTGTACTAAAAAGTGGTTTTTTAGCTTTAATACTATTGATCTTGAATATTTCTGATGGGTCAACAAGCGGTGTCTAAAGCCTTTGGCATCTTTATTTTAATCAAATGTTACAATCATTCTGTCTCAGAAAAAAAAAAAGATAGTCTAATCACTTCAAAACTGCAATGGAAAAATTAAGTGTAGGACAGTATGCTCTGAAATTACATCGGGTCCTTTTTGAACGCTGGTTGAAATTGCTTTTTTCAAGAGTTTTTGGGACAAACTTTCAGAAGCCTTTTAATCCAATTTGTTGCTTGACCCACCCATCGTGAAAGTTGGATTTCTCGAAAGATATTGATCACTTGGCTCAACTTATGGCCTACTCAACACCTGCAGGTCGATTACAGGTTAATTTCAGCCTGGTAAAGTTTTTGGGAATAATTAAGGTAATTTCAAGTGAAATTTAGGCCCACATGAATTGTACTTTAATAGTTATATCCCAAATACACCTGAATGGTTCTTTCGTAATCAGTTGTCTTTGCATCATGAGAACAAAAACATCAAATTGGAGCATCGCAGTGAAGGAACATTTGGACATAAAGTTGGATCTTTTTTGGCTATTTATTACATTTTATGAACGTTCAATTTGGTATTGTTTTAAGATACAACCCAAAGAGTTCTCCGTTCCTATTTCACGGACCTTCCATGAATCCTGGCGAAGTCTGAAATCCCCTTCCTTCTATAGGTAATATGAAGCATGTTACTCGAGTGCCAACCCTCGTCCAGTAATTTATGCCCAAAAAAAAAATTTTCGACCAGTGAAAGATGTTGAAGTGTCGCAACAGTTTTTCAGAAGGAACAGAAGAAGAAAAAGAAATTATTGTTATTATTGCGGTGGTGGAATTTGTAAATGAAAACGTGAATAATATATGGTAATAGATTACTATTAGGATAATAAAAATCAATTAAAGATCAACAAAATTTTATTTTTTGAATTCGATTAACACCTTATCTTCGCGTTATGTCAAGAATTCATCCGTAAGCATTAAGGATTATTGGAAATGTAAATCTAAAAGAACGCAAGCATTCACTTTCTTCCAGAATGGTCTTGTTTGATCTGTCCAAAAGTCCAGCTTCTTCGCTATCAAATAAAAACCAATTAAGAGAACATTAAAATGGGCCGTCAACCTGATGACGACTCGCCACCACTGGAATCTGTCTGCCGCGGACACTTTTTAAATAAGAACTGTCGTCGATATGTTACATGACAAGAAAAATTCACTAGATTTACCTAAAAAGAAAAACTATCAGTCTTTGAAAAGAGTTTCCCGACCGGTTGAACCAACTAAGAGTAAAGATAAGAATGAATAATAATATAGAGACCGCAATAAAATTTAAAAAATAATGTCCGACCGTGTAACTAATACCAAGTGCCTAACAAAAAATCGAGTTACTATTTGCTTACCAAATCATTATTTATTTATTTATTTATTTATTTATTTATTTATTTATTTATTTATTTATTGGGTGTAACTATTTTTTCTTTAAACTTACAACATTTCTGCGAACACAACTCCAACGTTGATTACAATTTTCCTAAATGGTAAGCGAGTGAAATTTTAAAATTAGCTGCAAATTAAAGATTTGTTTACAAAAGGATCAAACTGGTCATGTGCATATTATGAAGAGTCACTGTATGGTGTTGAAGTATTAGTATTTCAAGAAGCCAAGACATCAGCCATTTGTACATGTGTATAAATAAAGGTAGACAGTCCAAGAGTGGATTCTAGTTCTTGTGCGGTCAGTCGGTGCTTGTGAGTCGAATATAGTGTCTTTTTGGCATCCACAGAACAATTTTTAATGAGTCAAGATACGATTTCTTTAAAAAGTCTCGCAACAAAGTTGAGATCAGCAAAGAGGAATATGATGATGAACTTGATGTTTGTAGTACCATCAAAATTATTTGTGGCGCAATACACCCCAATAATAATAGTAAACTTGATGTAAACTAGTTACAAAAACCATAACAACAACTATTGAAAAAATATGTTATTCAATTTTGGTTAAGTTGAACATTAATTTTGGAACAGCAGATCCAAAATGTTGTTTTGTGTAGTCGTCACATCACCTCATATGAAAATTATTCAAAAGAAGGAGCGAAAAGAGATTAATTTAATATTAATTAAAAAAAGTATGAACAAGATAGGAGGAAGGAATATATATTATTTAATTAATATTTTTGATCATCATTTGTTTTTTTTTATAAATATTAACTTTAATTTTCGTCGACCAATCAAGCCATTGAAATACCGTCGTTACTTCTCATAATAGACTGATGGTTTATGATTTATTTTCTATAAGAAAAATCAGAAAATTGACATTTTTAATTCAGCCATAAAATCCGAATATTTCCGAATATTTTGTTAATTTGAATAATGCAAAAAAAAACACGATTTATGTTGTAATACCAAATGGTAGAGCGAATTGCATAAAAATCACACGCATACACAAACAATATCAATTATTAAAACACATTGACAATAGTTTTTTTACATTATGTATTAGTATGTACATATATATTGATATTAAAAATTCAATTGAGTGTAACCTAGCCATATCTTTTCTTAAAAAATAAATATAAATACAAACAAAAAGAAAACATTGTAGTAATTTGCTCAAATTTATTATATAATTAATAATCTTAATTTGAATATCAAACTATCATTAGCAAATTAATCGTTTAGTATAATTAATTATGTGTAACTCTGAAATTTGGTGGGGAGACAAAATAAGTTTGTTTCAACAAAAATTGCAATATACACCAGCTTCTGATAAAACGCGTTTGGAGTTTGGAGACTAGTAATAATAGCGATTCTATCGTAGTTGTTGTTTGTTTTCTTTCAAAGCATCGATTATTTTTGCAAGTTGGAGAATTTGTATTGAAATTTTTGACCCCTGTTTGTCATACCAAGGCAGATAAATCACTTTTGGAAAAAAAAAAAATATATATGCAATCCTCTTCAGTTGACTGTGGAAATATTTATGCCATTATGGAATGAGTATCCCCCTCCTTCTCTAAAAAACTTTACTGGGTATGTTTGTTCGCACATCCTTTAAAAACTACTGGTACTAGTGAAACATTATGGCCGAGCGACACTTCCTTTAAAAAGACTAGACTCTTGGGTCATTGTTACAGTTGATTTTCAGCTAATGACTTAAAATCGTATTTCTCTTTTACCAGATAGCAGACACTTTAAAAGAAGATGCAGCCTTTTTCGACTTCTTTTTCTAAAAAAAAACTTCACATGAGAAAAGCTCTTTAAAATCAGGCTTTGCCCTAATTCACAAAAAAATATTAAAAATATTATTACAAAGACATACAACAGATGTTTAGCAGTAGTTAATATTACACTCATTGAGACTACTGATCTTAAATGGATTCTTGATACCCCTGCTAGTTATTGACTTTAATGTAAGAGGTTAAGCAGTATTTTTTACTATTATTCTTTTTTTTTTTTTTAAATCACACCCACCCGCTTTGTTTTCGGTCTTTTGTAAATATGGCCCCATATTTTATATATAGTAATAGGTTATTTAGTAATACACATCATCATTAATTTAAATAAATTATTAATATACTATGTTATATATAATAATAATACATACCGTATAAATAAATAAATAATAACAAAAAAATTCTTCCCCTTTTTTCCTTTTTTTATATTATTTTTCTAAATATTTGTATCGACTAATTATAAATGATATATAATAAAAAAAATATTTTATATATAATTTCTTTTTTATAAAAAATAAAAAAAAAAAAATAGAAAATAACTTCGTTTGTAATTTTCCAAATTTGTTCATCTTTAAAAAAGAAAGGCTCTTATAATTTTGTTCCTGACTCCCTTTTCTATTTTCAAAATTGTTCCTTAAAGAGCTCGCAAAAGTTGCATTTACTTTTAATAATTATTATATACAAGAAGGCTTATTTAAAGCAATAAATTTTAAAGTGTCATCTACTAAATACAGCATAGAGTAATAATAACAATTAACGAGTTTACGATTGACTACAGGAAAAACTTATTTATAAATTAATTTATTTAAGGAAATACCACATTAAATAATATGGCACCTACAAAACTTAAAATAAAAGGTAACAAATCCTTTTCACTTTTGGGTTCGCTTGACACTGAAGAAGATTTATCAAAAACGTGGCGTTTAATGACAAAGGTGAAAGAGGCTTTAGAATATGGAATGAGATTAGAAAACTTATCGTGGCGTCTTTGGTTCATGCACCATTTGATGGTTCATGATCAAAAAACTAAAACTAAATTCAGAAGATTATCAACCGTTACTACAAAAAAATTGGAGACTGAAAAAGCTGCTAACCTTAAAGATTTAGCTGTGCCTACTTATCGTGGTGGCAATGGTAACGTTAGCGGTAATACTAATAATAGCACTAATAATAATAATAATAACAACAACAACAACAATAATAATAGTAGTAATAATAATAGTAATAGCAAGAAAAAGAAAAAGAATAAGCAGCAACAACAAACGCAACAACAACAGAAGCAGCAACAGCAAATCAATAATACAACACAAAGTTCTCTGACAATTGGAAATTCAAATGAAATCACCTCAAACACTAATACTGCAGCTTCTTCCGTTTCTACTATATATAATAATAATAATTCTTCCACGGAAATTATTACTCCTACTGAGCCAAATTTTGGTTTTTCCACAAGCTATGTTAATAATCATAATGGTAATATGGAGGTTGATTATCAAGATAATTTAATTGATCAACATAATCTAAGTGATCATAATATTGACTCTCCTGTTGATAATACTGATATGTTTATGGGTGGTAAGTTGATATTTTAATTAATTAAAAGATTTCTCCAATGTTTCTTACAAATAATAAATTATTAATTGGTAAAAATTTAAAAAAAAAAAAAAAAATAATAGCAATTACAGATAATGACATGAGTCTTATGGATCCAAATAATATGATTTATTACACGCTACACCAATACACCAATGACCAAAGTCGATACCAAGTGATTACATTACCAAACGATTACATTCAACCGTACACAGCAAGTGCACTAATAGATTCAGACAAAGGTCCTACAATGGAAATCGATATTTCGAGTATGTTTGAAACTGGTGGTGCTACTGATCAACTATCCCAAAATTCAAGTCTACAGTATCATCCTCATCATCACCATCCACATCAATTGACTTCACATCATCATCACCATCATCCTCATCATCACCATTCACATCATCAACAACATCAACAACATCAACAACTTACCTCAATAAGCAATCAAATTGTCTCAAATGCTGCTTCCTCATCTACAAGTGGCGAAGCAGTCTATGTTAGCAGCAATGATACTCAAACAGCAAATCTTCCTCCACTTAACACAAATATAATAAATTCTGCATTAAGTAGTAATAGTAACAATAACCACCATCTCAATACCCCACTAAATACTCCTGTTAATGGATTGCCTACTAGTAATATTTTAAATGGTGTCAATAATATTTTAAGTGACGGTACAAATTTTATTTTTGCAAATCAACAATTTTCCTCAAATCAAACATCATCTTCAACCACTGCCACTAACACTACAACTAATAATAATAACAATAACAATAATACGTCAATACCTATTTCTCCACCAATATCGTCATCACCATCATCATTACTAAAAAATAACTACTCTTCTAAAAAGAACGATTCTTCTTCTTCTCAACATCAACAACGATCTGTTTCTTCTCCTTCAAATATTATATCTTCAACGGAAACTTTGTCGATTTCTTCTTCCACATCTTCTTCCAACAACAACAACAACAACAACAATAATAATGGTAATGAATGCAATACAAACAACAATGATAATAGCTCGAACAGTAGTAATTCCAGCAACAGTAGTAATGGTAGCATTATTAATGGTGATACTAATAGTAATGCCAATATTAACGGTAATCGTAATTCATCACAGACACCCGAAAATAGGGTAAAGAAATCAAATTCTGGTAATGGCGAGCAACAATGTCACAACTGTGGTGTAACTTCTACTCCGCTTTGGAGACGTTCTACAAACGACGAATTATTATGTAATGCGTGCGGTTTATAGTAAGTAGTTGATTTTTTTTTCAAGTTTTATTAATATTTCATAGAGTTTTTGTCAAATTTTATTGTTCAAGCTATGTACATAATCTATATAATTATTCATCTTCATCAAAAGAAAATAATAATGACAATATAGTCAGAGAGTTAGTTTATTAATAGTAAGGTCATATTTGTTTTCTCGTAGCAGTAAAAAATTTGGATACAATAACAACACTACAAACAACAACAACAACAACAACAACAACCAACAGATTTAGCTTTTTTCGTTTAATGAAACAATCGAAACATAAAATTGACCTCTATCTATCTCCTCTCCCTATATATATCTATCTACATAAAATAGTCTGAAGCTTCACAAGATGGCCCGTCCAAAAACTATGAAACCACACATAGTACGTAAAGATGCTCGGGATGATGAAGCATCACAACCAAGATGTTCAAATTGTGGTACCATGACAACACCACTATGGCGTCGGGATGAAGAAGGTCAAACATTGTGTAATGCTTGTGGTTTATAGTATGTGTTTATGTGTCTATACTCCTTTTAGTATTTATTTTTTATATTATTATTTGTTTAACTAATATTTTTATTTATATTACAGTTTCAAATTACATCATGAGAGAAGACCATTATCGATGAAAACGGACGTAATAAAGAAACGTCAAAGATACGAAAATGGTCAAACTCCTAATCGTCGAGCTGGTAAAAAATTAAAAGCTAACGATTCTCAACAACAAAATCCACAGCATCAAGATGACGACGACGATGATAATGATAATAATGAACAGGATGATCGACTACAAGTAAATCAAGATTCAAAGCCATTAACAATATTTCCCAAAGCTAATTTAAAAAATACTAATTCTCCTTCTTACAACTCTAACAATTCCAACACTTCCGCTAATTCTACCTCTATAAATATGGCAACGTCATCTAACTCTGCCACTTCTAGCAGCAGTAGCAGCAGCAGCAGCAGCAGTAGTAGCAGCACCACGATTAATAATAATGTTACTAATAACATTGTTCAATCACTTTCAGTATAGTTTTTAAGATATAATATATATACACGCACGAGAGATAAGAGAATAATTTTATTCTTCTTTTATTCTTCTTTTCTTTAATTCTTGCCTCACTTACCAGCGTTGCCATCGTTATTAATTTAATTAAAATAAATAATTAATTAGAAAAAATTTAATAGTACTAGATAAAAAGAAAGGGAAGCAAGAAAATTTAATTTTATATTTGTAATTTGTAAAAAATTTTTATTTTTTAATTTTTTAAAATTACCTGTAAAGATTTTTTATTTTCATTTTTTTATTTATGTAATTTTTTTTTTTTTTATTAAAAAAATTGTCAAAAAATTCCTTTAAAGGAAATTCGTATAACCAAACTTTATATGTTGGAAAAATAAAATGTCTGCTCCATTCAAAAAGCTAACAGTTAAGAAACTTCCATTACCTGTTGAAAGTAGCACTGAAGACTCTAGATACTGGGGAAAGTTCAAGGTAGGATAAAATAATGATGATAATCATAATTAATTAATACACACATATATATATAATTAAAATATTTCATCATCTACATGTATATCTAAAAAGATATTTTTATTTTTTGATATGATGATGATATCATAACGACAATAATAATAATATTATTATTATCATAAACAAGACTCCTACCAAAATCAACGAGGTATCTTCAGTTGTATCAATACATTTTTCACCAAGTAAACCACACGATTTTGCAGTTACATCCTCAGCATATGTAAAGATATATTCTGCACAAACATTTAAAGTTAAAAAAATAATATCAAGATTTGAAAATACTGCTTTTTCTGGAAATATAAGGAATGATGGTAAATTGCTTGTGGCCGGCGATGGAAATGGGTTGATTCAGGTTGGAATTGAATATATATATATATATATGTATTGATCTAATCCAAATGCGAGGAAAAAAAAAAAAAGAATTAAAGATTTTTTTTTAAAAAAAAAATAGGTTTTTAATCTTGGAAGTCGAGCAATTTTAAGAACGTTTCGTGGTCATAAACTGTAATTAAACCTTGACTATTTTCTATTACATTCGTTTTTTATTCATTGGGAAAAAAAAAAGGTATTAATTCTTATCCCATTTATACAATAAACAGCCCTGTACATGTTACCAAATTTTTTCCAAATAATAATAAACAAGTTCTTTCATGTTCCGATGATAAAACAGTTCGCGTATGGGATATACCTGAACAAGGATCAATTTCAGTTTTAGAAGGACATAAAGTATGGAACCAATAAATTAATTAAATTAGTTTGGTTGGTTGATTGGTTATTAATATATACGCGATTTTTTTTCTTTTTTGGAAAAAAAAAAAAAAAAAGGATTATATAAGATCTGGTTTAATAAGTCATGATAATCCACAATTAGTTTTATCTGGTTCATACGACAAAACTATAAAATTGTGGGATTTACGTAATAACAAATGTAACATGACTATTGATCATGGAGCGCCTGTTGAAGAAGTTTTGATGTTTCCAGGTGGTGGTATAGTATTATCAGCAGGTAAACAAACACAAATAAATTGTTATTATTATCATCATTATTATGACGGTGATGTTTATTTTTATTTAATTTGTGTGTAGGTGGTCCAACTTTAAATGTGTGGGACATGTTTGCCGGTGGCAGACTTATTAGATCAGTGTCTAATCATCAAAAAACCATCACTACAATGTGTTTTGATGCCTCCTTTTCTCGTTTGCTTACTGGTTCTTTGGACCATCATGTAAAAATATATGATGTGCAAAATTATGAAGTTGTTCACAGTTTCACATATTCAAAACCTATTCTGTGTATTAGTATGTCTGTAAGTCATTATATTTATATAAAAAAATATTTTGTTAAAAAAAAAACCCCCCCCTCTCCAATAGGTGATTTGTGTTTGTTGATTATTTATTTTTTTTCTATTTAGCCAGATGATACACATTTAGCAACGGGGATGACATCAGGCTTATTGTCTGTAAGGCATCGTAAACCAGATCATGATGAGAATGTTGCTAAAAATAACGAAAATAAAATCCGAGCCGGCTCATATCAATATTTTACCAGAGGTTACTCTTACAATGGATCAAAGGTATTTTAATTGATAATTGATTGTAATCAGTTGATAACTGATTTAAATATTCATACATGCATGTACACATATTAATTGATTAATTATTATTAACAATAACAATAACATTAACAGGAGGATTTCGTAGTTGAATCAGAACGTTATCGAAACCTTGCAATATATGAACAATATTTAAAAAAATTTGAATACACAAAAGCTTTAGATGCTGTTTTTAGAACTGTAAAATAATTTTTGTTTATTTATATAAATTATTATAAAATTTGATTAAAAAAAAAAAAATCTAATTTTATATATTGAACAGGGCACAAGGGCAATATTAACAATCTCAATGTTTCAAGAACTTATCTATCGTGATGGTTTAAGACAAGCGTTGGTAAATCGGGATGAAACTACATTGGAACCGATTTTAAAATTTATAATGAAATGGATAAACGATCCAAAGTATACAGAACTTTTAATTGATGTTGGAAATCTTATATTTGGTAAGACATAAATACATACGTGCATGCATACATGCATATCTATATGTTGCTATTACTATCATTATTTTTTATATTCAAAAAATTTAGAAATTTACGGACAAGTAATTTGTCAGTCACCAAAAATTCAAGTGTTATTACAATCTTTAAAAGCAAAAGTCAAGAAAGAATTAGAAGTACAAAAAGAAATATTTAAAGTTATTGGATCATTAGAAATGTTATTTGCCAAAAACTCTATTGTATCTTCCACTACCACTACCGATAATATTACCTCAGAAATCACCAATACTGCAACGCCAACACCAACAACGTCACAATGATTATAGCTGCAATAATTTAAATAAATAATTTTCCAATGATGATGAATATCAATTCTTTATTTATTATTTTAGTATACAATTTTGATATTTTACTTTTTAAAAAATAAATAAAATATAAAAAATTTATATATTATATGCAAATATCATTGATATATTTCGGTTCTTTCAATCATAGGATTCACAATACTATGATACTTTTCACTACAAGCATTAGGGCTTCTATCTCCAAATATTGTTGAAATTTTCTCCCAATTATTTCCATATAAATTGATTAAATCGATTAACCTGTTTTCATCATAATCTGACCAAATTGTAGTGGTAACTTTATCGTTTTTTTCAACAGCAATTATTTTATCTTTTTGTTTTTTCTTTTTTTCATCATCATCATTATAATTTTCTTTTAAATATGATGCAAACTCTTTTTTATTTGATATTATTCGAGTTCTAATTGATGTTGGTGATTTACCTATAAAATATGATGCTATTTTATCATAATCTGTACCATGTTCTTCAAGTAGACTCTTTAACATATTATCATCTTTTTTTGTCCATTTTTCAGATGTCGATGCAACAATATCATTTGTATTCGTTATTTGAGGCAAAGAATCATGATTTGAATTATAAAATTCTATACATTCTATTTTTGACTTTTTCTCAAAATGTTTTGAAATCAATTTCCAATTTGTCCCAAATTCTTTTAAAAGTCCAACCAATTTGATGATCTCTTCTTCAGACCATTCTTTATTCCTTAAAGACTTGGAAGTAATGAAATTCGGAAATCTATTTTTATTATTAGTAAAAAAATCTTTTATTTGTTTAACTGATTTGTTGCCCATCTGTTCTGATATTAATTCCCAATTTCTATTATATTTGTAATAATATTTTTGAAATTTTATAACATCCATCACATCCCATTTTTTACTTAATTCTAATTCTGAATATATTTTTAATACAGAATAGTATTTTAAATAGCATCCACTCGGTGTTCTATCTTTCATCACTTTTGAAATGTCTTTCCATGATTTACCCAAATTTCTTAATTCAAACAATTTTATTATTTTATCAATTTTCCACCGTGTTGAATATTTACCACTACCTTTATCTTTTGAAATTTTTTTCTTGAGCTTGTTGTCACCGTCATCATTGTCTTGAAAAAGAGATATGTTTTTAGCTACATATTGCTGAACTTCTGCTGAATTTCTATGTGGAAAAAATGGAATTATTTTATACCAATCAAAACCATATTTGGAAATTAGGTTTTTCAATAGTATTTTGTCTGATTTTGTCCATCGATGAGGTATAGTCGTGTATGGCGAGAAGCATAGTAATGGCGAGAATCCGGGTAATAATAAAGGAATTAATTCCCATCTGCCACATTTTTCTCTGATTATATTAAATGCTTTGATCGCTTCTATCGGCCAACTATGTTTAACCAAAGCTGTGGTGTTTTTGTCAACTCCATCCCAAATGGTATAATATTTTATTTCACATGCGTAAGGGGTTCTTCCAGGAAAATGTTCTGATATTCGTTGCCAATTCTGACCATGCTTCTCAACAAGGTCGCTTAACAATTTTTTTTCTTCATCTGTCCATGTACAAGATGTCACCATTATTTGTGCTAGATGTACTTCGCGCAATGCAGGTAGTTCATATATGTGTTTTGGTATAAATCTTGATATGGCATCCGGCGTTCTTCCCAAAATGTATTTTGACATCACATCATAATCACGTCCATATTTTAATATCAACTCATTTAATAGCGCTATTTCACTATTTGACCACCTACTTGACCTAATGCTTTTTTCTGGGAATTTATATAACGCGGGAAATCTGTTAGGATTTTTTAATACAAAATATTCAATTTGTTTGATTGTTTTATGGGGTAAATGCTTTTGAATTACACTCCATCTACGTCCATGCCTATCTAACAACTCATTTACAAGCTCAAACTCTTGCTTAGTCCAGCCAGGTATTATTATTCCTTCATCAGGTATTTTACTCAATGCTGTTCTTTGTTCACTTTTAGCAATAATTGGTTCAAATTTGTTGGGTAATAATTCTTGATATTTTTTTAAACATTCCAACGGCGTTTTATTTTTTATAATGCCTGAAATTTTATTCCAATCTTGACCATGTTTCTCAACAAGTTTTTTTAAAAATATTAAGTCTAGTTTTGAAAAAATTTTCATGATCATCGACTTTTTGAGCAGGGATGAGCAGGGATAATCTTAGCATGGTTAAAAATCCTTTTATGTTTCTGTTTTGGTCGATCAAGGTGATACAAATTTTCTATTACAGAGATTGATTTTCATAACATTATAACCTTGTGATGGATGGTATATACATTTTACAAAGTTTATGGCATATTAACAATGTAATTTGTTATTTATTTTTATAGGACCAACATAACTATAAGTTGTTTCTTAAAATAATTGGTAAATTTGAAAAAAAAAAATCTACAAATATTGAAATTAAATGCAAGTATAAATTCTATGACCTTGAATCCTATATCTTCACACATAAAATTCTTATCATTTTCCCATTTTAGAAAGAGGATATTGAAAAATGGTCTTGGGTCATTAATCATTTTTCAGTTCAAGTAAAACTCCAAAAACATAATTCCACAAGTAAATCTAGAAGAATTACTAGATTATAATAATCCATTGGCTTCATCAATAATCTACACTTCAGAACAATGGTTGAAAGATTCACTCGAAAATTTTGAGCAGAAGTTATCCAATGTATCCAACTGTGCTATCAACAGTCCAGACTAAGGGTTCTGCTTCTATTAGTAGCCGAAATTGCCCAAATACTTTGGGCAAAAATTATTTTTTTATAAGCCCAAACTACTTTTTGTTACTAGCCAAAATTGGGCAAATTATTTTAAAAGTTGCTTGGCTTTGAGAAAACAGTTTGGACCAGAAACCTTAGTCCAGACTACAGATCTCTTATAAGTAGACAGGACATGAAGGAACTAGTGAATCATTTGTATGATTTTATATATATATATGGTACTTATACAACAGAAACTGATCCTAATTGATAACATATTTATATGCGATTTAGTAAATGTTTAAGGAAAAACCAGGAATATCTAGAAGAGGACTGTGAATTGAATGAAGGAACTTGGGAAGCTCATTGTGTGATAATACCATTCAACATTGCAGTAGAAACATTACTCAATTAAAATTAATAATGTAAAGTGATAATTGTTTACTTGTATAATTTTTATTTACCAATAATTTTTAACTAAAAGTTTTTTTCCTATTTAAATAATAGATCTGAAAAGGCTAGCAGAAGCTCAAAAAGAAGAAGAAATGAGATTCATAATGATGATGAGCAAGAAAATAATGTGATGGGGGAAAAAGGTAAGCCTTGGTAAATTCTTTTATTAAAAAAAAATCATAATAATTTGTTATTTATTGTTATTCTAGAGAAAAAAACAGGGAAAATGCATTAGAATCAAGAAAACCAGTTGATTCTAATCTGAAATTTGAGTTTTTAGTTGGTGAAGTATGCTTTCAACATGGTGTAAAAAAGAAGATAAAACTGATGATGATACCAAAAAAATTTTTAGAATAATGAAGGACTGTTATGATAGCATTGTGTTGTATTTTTACAACAAATTTTCTGTAAACTATTCTAATCATTATAATTTAAGGAATTTAGAAATATATGGTATCATTATCTCGGGTAATTTGGTTAAAAATTATGATCTTTTCTTTCTCCAATGTGATCTCCATTTTTTCACATATGAAATTATATTTTTCAATAGGATTTGAATTAACCATTTATGTGTTAGACCATCCAGGTTTTGGTGCGTATAGGATTCAAAAGGCTGCACAATTAAATATTCCTGCAAAAGAAGAGAATGATAATTATTATTTTTATATAAATAAATCAATGGTAAGTAATCTCTTCTTATAATCAAATGTATTGTAATTACTACTGATGATCATTACTAATAGTAACTTTTAATAATTGCAGTTTGCAATTGATAAGATGTCAAAACTTGTCAATAATCTAAATTCTGAACTTGAACAGAAGTCCTCAAAAAAGAATGAGAAAGATTTTCTAGTATCTTCATTGAGTAGAACAATGAAGTCACCAACAAATTATTTATAATGATTTTCATAAAAAAATTTTATAATATAAATTATTTAAAATTACTTTTAAATATCAGGGATTACATTGAAATATATTAGTACATTATATTATATGGATTGATTAATTTATTTTTTATGTATTTGCATTTATATGTTACTATATTAAATAAACAAACAAACAAATTTGCAGATTTTAGTCAAAAAGGATTTAGATACTGTGAACAAGTAAAATAGTATGGATATTGTTATTTCTCACTGGTGGTGATCATTGCCATGTGTGAGAAATAACAATCTCCTGCTTCCTTTCAATGTAATAAAAGTTAATAAAAATAACAGGACATTTTGGCCAAATTAACCTCTAATTCTAAATGTTCAAAATCATCCAATAACTGTTTTTAGAAGAGCTAATTTTAGTTACTGTTGTAACTAACAACTCATCACCAAGTGATGAAGAAATGTCAAAATACTTTCCAACATCACCCATTGTAATTAGGAAAACAATTTTTTTTAGAATAACATTGAACAACATTATAGATGCTGGTTGCAATTCTTGGTGATGGTTGCAACCATATTTGCGACATATAAAAATGGTTTGCAACACCTGATTGCAACCACCTTTGCAACCACTTTGGTTTCCTTTTTTGGATTGTGACATGGAACACTAAACAACATAGAGAAGATTAAAAACTTAGAAAAAAAAATAGATGAGTTAGAAACTAGCCTTGAAGGAGAGAAAGAAAAGGTTGACTGTCATTTAAAGCTCTGGAAGTAGCCCAAGAATGAAGAGAAAGACAATTAGCTGAATACCTAGAACTATACATGAAGTCGAAATGTTTCAACTTGAGGAAACTACATAGTAAAAATCAGTTTTGACCTTATTTTGACCCTATTTCGACCAGATCTGCAAATGGTTGACTTCATGTATAGTTAGAACAGTTAAAGACAGTCAAGAATCAGGGAATACAAGGTATTCTTTTGGCCATACAAGGCAAGGGAAATGAATTGCAATCAATTAAGCAAGAAATCAACCAACAAGCCCAAGAAATTCAACAGTTAAAACAAGAATTATATTTAGCCAATAAATCTTTACCAGCATTACCAAGGAAAAAGAACAAATTACAAAGAATTGCAAAAAAGATATGTGAGAAAATTCACTTAAAAGAGAAACCAGAGAAAATAGTTGGAGTAAAACCCAAGGAAGCCAAACCAATTCACACAAATTCTCTTTTGTCAAATCTATTTTTAACTTCTTTAATCTTTAAGAGATAGTATAAATATGCTCACCTATACTGATAAATAAACCTAAGTAAATTATTTTTCTTCTGATTTTCTTTTCTTTATAAGTTCTGTGCTAATTTTCTTTTATCAGTTATAATTTTTCTTTCTTCTTGGTAAATTTCATAGGTAATCCTTTCTTTTCTTAGATAAACTTCAAGTGTTTGAGTATCATTTATTTTGAAAACATAAGGTGTGATCTTTTCTCCTTGTTCTTTCTTCAAAACACTTCTAATGGTGCTGTTCCATGGTGGATCTGATGTAAATGACTTTCATATTAATTATTTTTATATAGGGATAGTTCTATATATCATTTAAGATAGCAAATGGGATATTAACTATGATCGCATGACAAATGACTAAATTTTGATCCCTGAAATTCTTGGTTACCTTCAAAAATTATTAGATTGAGATTGAGATTGAGATTGAGATTGATTTTGATCTGATTTTGATCTGAGATTGAGATTGAGATCGAATTTTAATATGAAATTTCAATCTAGGTCAGGTAGTAAAGATTGAAAAAATAAACAAACAAAAATCAAATATTCAATCTCAATCTCAATATATAATTTTTGAAGGCACCCAATATTTTCAAAAAAAACTTTGATTTAAAAAACCTTAATAAAATTGGCTTATTGAGGTAATTTGATAGGTAGATAATAATGAGTTCTGACTGTACATTTTATTCATTTTATTCATCTATTCATTACATTCATTTTGTTCAGTTTTATTCAGTTTTATTCATTTTATTTGGTTTTATTCAGTTTTATTTGTTTTATTTGTTTATTCGAATTATTCATTTTATTTGAATTATTCACTTTATTCGTTTTATTTGAATTATTATTATTTTTTACTCAAATTATTTGTTTTATTTGAGTAAACCTTATTCAAATAGAAACTCAAGATTATGATATTATTTTAGCACAAAGAGCTTTGGAAATATTTAACCAATAATTAAATAACAATATAAAAGAGTTATTGGTTTATTAAACCCAATAATTAACTAAAAAAATAGGATTAATTTTAAAAGAATATCTGATAAATATTGGCACTTTCAATATTTACTAGTAGGCTTTTAGACTATATGATAAAAATATTATTATCAGTATGTCAATACCAAAATTATTTTTTTAAAGAATATTGGTCAGATATCAGATTCTAATATTTACTAATACCCCATTACCCAATTTGGCATCATTTGACCAGTAAAAAGAGAACCAATAGATTATATATAAGCAAAGAAAGATGGGACC